GGAGGAGGGTCCAGGCAGCATGGCTGAGTTCTGGGACTGGGATTGTGGACAGGTGCAGAGGATCAGGTCAAGGCCCAGCCAGGCAAAGGCCAGCAGAGAGTGGCCGCTACATGCACAGCACACCCGTGACTGGGAGCCGGGCAGCTGCCCTGTGCGCTAAGCCTTGTACATGGGAGTGCCCCGCAGTGTGCACACCAGTCACCGGCAGTATTCACACTGGACTCATCCAACAGTATTCACACAGGAGCCACCCACAGTATTCACACTAGACTCATCCAACGGTATTCACACAGGAGCAGTATTCACACTAGACTCATCCAACGGTATTCACACAGGAGCCACCCACAGTATTCACACTAGACTCATCCAACGGTATTCACACAGGAGCCACCCACAGTATTCACACTAGACTCATCCAACGGTATTCACACAGGAGTCACCCACAGTATTCACACTGGACTCACCAACAGTATTCACACTGGGGTCACAGTGTTCACACTGGGGTCACCAGCAGTATTCACATGGGGTCAGGCATGACAACTGTTGCTGAAGGGCAGTTTGGGACAGGGCAAGGGTGGGTGACAAAGAGACGTGTGCTCGCCCAGTGCAGGCTCAGCCAGTGTCTGAGGCCAGGGCAGAGCTGTTTTTGGAACCCTGGTCTCTGACTCTTGGAACACAGCTCTGTAACTTGGGGTGGCCTCTCCAGTTATTGCCTCTAGGCTGGGGATTAAGATTGTTCTCCACATGGTGACCAGTTAGCAACTGCATAGTGTTTGCACACACTTAGAGCCAACTGTGCCTCACAGTCACACCTGGTCCTCACACCCCTCACCGTGGGTCAGGGCTGTGTGCTGACTCACCATCCATACTCACACCCCTCACCGTGGGTCAGGGCTGTGTGCTGACTCACACCTGGTCCTCACACCCCTCACCATGGGTCAGGGCTGTGTGCTGACTCACACCTGGTCCTCACACCCCTCACCGTGGGTCAGGGCTGTGTGCTGACTCACACCTGGTCCTCACAACCCTCACCGTGGGTCAGGGCTGTGTGCTGACTCACCATCCATACTCACACCCCTCACCGTGGGTCAAGGCTGTGTGCTGACTCACACCTGGTCCTCACAACCCTCCCTGTGGGTCAGGGCTGTGTGCTGACTCACACCTGGTCCTCACACCCCTCACCGTGGGTCAGGGCTGTGTGCTG